TTCTACAGCCGGCCCTGATTCGTAGGTCGGCCTTGCCAAAACAAGGGTGCCCTTGTGTCCTGTGTCTCTCGCGACCCATGCTCCCTACCTTGTCATGGCAGTGTGGCCCTCGGAGGATCTTGCGTCCTCTCGCGTGTCCTGTCTGTCGGGGATGGACAGACCCCCCTTTAGTAAAATGTGGTTTAGTGAAAACGACCTGAGGCCCAAACCTGGCGGGCGTAAGCCTGGAAAATAACGGCCACGGCGCCATCTCGAGAACCGAAAACGGACAATTCACTAATCGACGTGTCACTGTTGGGGGTTCTGTCCACCCCCGACACAGCCCCGGGCCCGTGTCGGCGGAGGGGCCCGGGGCTGGGCGGACTCCGGCGAGCCCAGGGGAGGAGCGAGAGGGGGCAGACCTTCTCTAAAGGCGTCGGGGCTTCCCAGAGGCCCTCCGGCCTGCTTTCCAACAGCGCACGCGTTCTCAGAGAAGGCCTCGGGTGCTTCTCGGCAGGCACGGAGGCCTTCTGCAACCGCTCCGAACCACGTGCCTCCTCCCGAGCCCGGGGTCAGCCAGTGGCGGGTCGTCTCTGCCTCTTCCTCCTCCTCCTCCTCCTCCTCCTCCTCCCCCCCCCTCCCGTTCCAAGCTCACTTCCTTCCTCTCTCTCCTCTCTCTCCCCCCCATGGGCGACGGCTACGACGGGGACGACGGCGGCGGCGGTGGCGTCGACGTCGACGGCGATGTGGGCGACGGCGGCAACGACTTCGGCAGCAAGGCGACGACTGCGGTGACAGCGGTGACGACGGCGGCGGCAGTGTCGGCGACGGCGGCGCGGACCGACCCAGCGGAAGGGCGGGGCGCGCCTTCGACAGGCGCCCTGACACGTCCGTGGCGCTGGTGTCACCGCTCTCGGGGCCGCCCACCTCGCTCTGCGAAGGGCGGTGCCCCTCTGCCGGCCGCGCAGTGGCCAAAACGTGTGCTGCATCGTTGGGCTCGCCAGCGCGAGCCCCAAACCATGCGTTTTGGCATGCGACGGTACGTCGTAGAACTGCTGCACCACTTTAGCCGCGCAGTGGCGCCTGTACTGCATTGTTCCTCCCCCCTTTCCCCCCGATCTTGATATTGGGCGAATGGCGAAAAACTTGTGCCCGCCCCCCCTTCCCACGGGCTGTCGACATAATGTTGCACCGCCGAAGTGTTTCGACACGCCTGGCCCGAACACCATGTTAGGATCGGCGGGAACGGGGAGGAACGACCACGGGTACAAAAGCGATGCGCGACGTTGTCCGCGCGAAGTGGTGCAATATCTTGCCGACGTACCGTACGTGGTGCAATGGATGTGGCGCCTCCTAGGTGATGCAGCATCTGTCGTGTAAGCTATCTGGCGCGACCTGTGTTATGCAATCGATGTAGTGGAAGCTACGCTGTGATGTTCTGGCGTTGTACGCCTTGTAGCGCAATCAACGTAGTGCCGTCTACGTGGTCCAGTGTATGTGGTGTGATCGATGTGGTACAAGACCAGTGGCGCAATACATTTTGGTATGAACTGGGTGGTGCAATCTATGCGGTGCGAACTACGTGGCGCAACGTGTGTGGCACGTGGTGCAAGCTTTTTTGACTCGCGCTGACCACACACACACCCCACCTCAAACGCGAGAAGGCGAACGGTTCGTAGGCTCCGCGGGAACCCATGTGTCCTGGAGCGCAGGCCTCGCGCCGACTTGGCGGCGCGGTGCTAGTTGGCGGCGCGGCGCCAGCCCGCCGCACTCCACGAAATCGTCGAAGCCCAGCGCCGCCTGCTGGGGCTGGCGGCACCCCCGACGCGGTCGAAGCGGATGACCGCGGCACCTGAACCCGAAATGTGCACGCGGCCAGTGCGCCCAGCCAGAAGGCCCACGAACGCCCGCACTTTCGCGTTCCGCGGGGGAGGCCTCGCGGCACCGCCGATGGTTCCGCTGGCAGATGGCGCCGATGGCGCCGCCATCAGCTCCGCCGCGGCCGCGCCGCCGTGAGCAGTCCCCCTCTCGCCCCCCCCCCCGACGACGTCGCCCTGGCACTCCCGCGACGACGGCGGTGCACGGGCCGCACCTCCAGGAGCGGCAGCAACATCAACCCTTCCCTCCAGCGCCGGCCGCGCACCGTCAACCCACGAGCCGTGCAAACTGTCGTCGCCGCCATTGCCGTCGTCGGGGCCGCACCGCAGGGCGACCACCTCCATCAGCCTAGGGCTCCCAACTTCGCGCTTCGCGCTGCGCGAAGCGCGAAGCGCGAATAACTTCGCGCTCTCGCGCCGCCCTCCCAAAGGGAGAATAGGAGGACGAGGAGGAGGGGGAGAAGGAACGAGGACCGCGAAGCGCGAAGCGCGAATAACTTCGCGCCCTCGAGGGAGCCCTTGATCAGCAGGCCCCCCAGAGCCAGCCGCGGGAGCCAGGCCTCCGCCGCCGTCCTCGACGTCGTCGCCGTCAACCCCCTTGGCCTCCTGGGGCGCGCAAGCCAGCGCCCCGCCCGCCCGCGCGCCTCGGCGCGAGGCGCAGGCGACGGCAGCGGCGGCGCTCCCGCTGCGCCTCCGAAGGGGGCGCATCCTCGCCTGGCTCGCCAGCGTCAGCACCAGCCGCGGCGGCTGCGGGCGGCGGGCGGGCGACAGCGGAAGCCGCCGCCGCCACAGCCGCACGCGCCACCGCCGCGGTGGCACGCCGCGGAGCTCCGGCTCCGATGGCAGCCCGGGCCGCCGCGTCCACGAGGACGGCGGCGTCGGCTGCGGCGATGGCCCCTCTGGGCGCCGCCATCCGAACCGCCGCGGGCGCGCAAAGGCAGGGCAGTGCAAGCGCTTGAGCCGAAATGGGGCACGAGGTACAAGATGTGTGGTGCAGCCTACGCGATGCAAGCTACGTGGTGCAATTCGCCTTGCCGGACTTGAAAATGTCAATCCCGCTGCTCGCGTAAACATCCCACCCGCCCACCCGCAACCTGGTTTGAAAAACCCATGCGGCGGCGATTGCGATGAATGCTTGGTGTTGGCTGGTGTGTCTCTGCGGTCACGCTAGCCCGCGCACGATCGCGCGCGCAGCGGCCAGCTAGTTTGGCGCGACCGACGCGGCAGCGGTGGCGCGGCCGAGCGGGCACGCCACTGCGAATCGGCGACGTGGGCGGGTGCGGTATCATGGCAGCGGTATTGGCATCGATGATGACAGCGGCGACGGTACGGCCAGTGACGGCGCCGATGCTGATCGCGCCGACGACGATGACGGCGTCCCCGCGCCGGCGACGAAAGTTTTGGAATGAGTTCGGCGAGCGCGCGCGGCCGACGCGCGAGTGTGGCCCGCATGGTATGATTTGACGCGGATCGTTCCCCCCAGCACGCGCGCCAAGGCGTTCGAATGATTTCGACATGCGGCGCGAGTCGCTCGTCTGGCAGAATTCGATGAACATGTTCAACAATTCATGGCTTCTTTGAGAATCCGCAAGAGCGCGAACGCCGTTGTTTTGAAAAACGGTGATGCGAAACCATGTTTTGCTGTGATATGTTGCTTGGACACTCGATTGTGAAATCCTTGCGAAACCGTAGGCTCTTGAAGGATGTTGCCAGGCACGCGCGAAGACGCTCGCGCGCGCACTTCGTCTCACGTTGTGCAACATATTCTCGCGACAGCACGCGCGCAAGGGCGTCCGAACGATTTCAACATGCGCGCGCGAATCTCGTTGAGTAGCATGCTCTGAAACAAATGAAAGACCTATGGCTGTCTTAAGAACTCGTAAGAACGCAAGTTGTTGGATTCGAATATCTGTGTGGCGAACAGGTGTGTGTTTGTATGTTTCCTGCGCACGCGATCTTGAATCCTTACAACACAAAGGTTGAAGGATTTCGGCATGCGCGCGCAACGACGCGCGCGTGCGCACTGCGTCTCATATGCTGCAAGGGGTTCTTGACAACTTATGATGCTTGGTAAGCGACTGTGCGCGCATAGTTTATTTGGAGCCGTGTAAGAGATCCAAGACGCTAGACGTTATGCGTGTCTGTGTCTTTTATTGCCAACCAAAAACAAGCCCCCTATGGGGGGGGTCGGCCCCGCAGAGGGACTCCTTCGGGGTCCTTCTGATTCCTCTGCATTCCCCAGGGTTCCGTTGGATTCCCAGTGCTCGGGGCCCAAGGCCCTGGGCGTAGGGTTCAGGGCTCAGGGCCCAGGGCCTCGGGTCCAGGGCCTCGGGTTCACGGCCCAGGGGCTCGGGGCTCGGGTCTCAGGGTTCAGGACTTCAGGCTCAAGGCACAGGGCGCAAGGCTCGTGGCCCAGGGCCTGAGGACACAGGCCTCAGGGTCCAGGACACAGGCCCGAGGGCCTGAGGACACAGGCCTCAGGGCTGAGGATACAGGGCCCTAGCTTCAGAGCTCAGGGCCCTCGCCCCAGGGCTCGGGGCTCAGAGCCTAGGGCCCAGGGCTCTGAGCTCAAGGCCCAAGGTTCTGAGCTCAGGGATCAGGGTGGAGTGCCCGGGGTTCAGGGCTCATGGCCCTGGAATCAGGGCTTAGGGCCCAAGAGATCAGGGCCCAGGGTCCAGGTCTTAAGACTCAGGGCCCAGGGCTCAGTCTGCAGGTGTCGTCAGGGTTCTTAGCATTTCTCATGGGTCCGCAAGTCTCTTCAAAATTCATGTGGACTACACTGGATTCAGATCCCTCCGGTTCCTTTCGATTCCTCGGGGGTCAGCAGCAGGGTTCACTTGAATGCTATCGGATTCCTTTGGGATCCGGTGTATTCCTGCAGGTATCTCAGGATTGCCTAAGTCGGACAAACCGTCCCAGCATTCCTATAGGCCTACCACGACATGTTCTTAGAACCCACAGCGATCTGAAAACAAAACAAACATTTCGTGCAGACCACAAAAGGCTCTCAGAACACTCGTTGGTGGGCCCGTAAGCGAGCCAGGACGTCTCGCCACTGCTTGGCCGAGAGGAGGCCAGCCAACCGGCCGCATGCAGCTGGTCTCCCTGGCGCCTCCCGCGGCGCCGAAAGAGCGGCCACGCACAGAGGAACGCGTCCGGCAGCGAAACCCCAACGCCCCCCACGCCCACCCCCGCCCGTTGCCCGGACCCCCGTCCTCGTCCGATCCGAGACGGGAAGGTGCCGGCGTCGGGTTGGGCGAAAGGGGGGGATAGCAAAGGGGGGGTTTGAGAATCAGCAGGCGGCCATGTATCGAGGAATGGGCACCTCCGTGGGGCCGAAACCAGCTGCATGCAGCAGATTTCGTAACCCCCCCTTTCCCAATCCCCCCCTTTCGCCCGGCCCGAGCCAAGGCCCGAAGAGCTCCCCGGGAGGGCGACCGTGAGAGCCCCAGCGGTCTCAGAATCTCCGCGCGCTGCCGGGCGCGAGGGGGCGCAGGGGGGCCCCGGCCTGGCAACCGGGCAGATTCCTTTGTTCTCCCTCTTTCTAGCTCCTCCTGGCTCCTGGCGCCTCCTCATCCATTCATCCGTCAACATTACGAGACATCATCTGCGAAGGAGCTTGCAACGAGGATTCTGCGACGTTCGATGGGAGAGAGGGAGTGCAATATGTCATGAGATCATTGTTCCTCCTGCTTACTCTTGCCGTATCTGCGACGTTGAGTTCGAGTCTGCCACTCCGCAGCTGTGGCATCTGGCTTCTCACTTACTGGACACATTTCAGATCGACTTGGGCGCAGTCCCCGAAGAGTAGCATGGCTGACGCGGCATGGGCGTCCTTCTTGGGCGGAGGTGCCGCCGAACCCCCGCGGAAGAGGCGGGGCGGCGGCAGCGCCGAAGACGGGGACAAGATCAAGGAGCTCTTGTCCATCCTCGTGAAGCTGTGCCTCCAGACGAAGCAAGAGGTACGCATGCTCATGGCAGTCGTGTTCATCTGCTTCCGGGTTGCAACGGACAGCACGGCAGCGCAGGGAGTCCGGAAGGCGTACAAGATCCACGCCGACCGCACGAAGGGCAAGAGTGGCCATGACGAGGGCGGCCCAGACCCATAGGCATTCATAGTGTTGCTGATTGAGGCCAGCACGTCAGAGCACATTGAAGAAGGAGACCTTGCGAAGATCCGGACTTTCCTCGCGGCTCACCCGCCGCCCAGTGACCCCAGAGGCGGGCCGGCAAGCGACGAGCTCCAGGAGGCCGTCCCATGTTGCAAGTTGCAGAAGATGTACAATTCCAACCAGGTGAAGCTCTTCATTCGTGTGCACCCGAAATACGTTGAGCTAGAGAATATCGTGATCAAGCACCTCCGGGGCATGAAATGCAAGCAAGACTTCGGCCAGGCCCCCCGGGGAGCCCTGGAGAGGAGGGCCCAGGACCTCTTCAAGGACCTCAACCTCGATCTGGGAGAGGACGAGTAGGCGTGAGATGCGCCCGGTGCTTCGGCTGAGCCCGCCGCTCCCCTTGGCGTGCTTAGCCGGACACGCTCGGTCGGGGCCGCCCCCCCAGGCCTGGGGCCAAAGCCTTCAGAAGAAATTCGGGCAACGACCCGATCGCTCTGCCAGATTCCGGATTGTACGGAGTCCATGCGCAGTTCCGCCGCCGCCGCCGCCGCCTCCTCCTCCTCCTCTTCCTCCTCCTTCCCCCTCCTCCTCCCCCTCCTCCTCCTCCTCCTCCTCCTCTTCCAACCCCTCCTCCTCCAACTCCTCCTCTTCTCCTCCTCCTCCTCCTCCTCCTTCCCCCTCCTCCTCCTCCTCCTCCTCCTCCTCCTCCTCCTCCTCCCTCCTCCTCCGTCTCCTCGTCCTCCTACTCACTCTTTCTATCCCCTCCCGCCTCCTTCTCCTCCCTCCTCATCCTCATCATCCTTCCCTCCCTCCTCTCCCCCCCCCCCACCCCTGGCCCCGCGCGCATTCCCGCGCGCGCAAGCGGGGGGCTGGGGAGCAGGGGGAAGAGGACGCAGATGAGAGGGGAGGAGGAGAAAGGCAGAAGGCATACAAGAAAAGTGGAGGAGGAGGAGGTAAAATGAGGAGCCCCCCACCGCCCTCCAGTCCCTCCATCTCCTCTCCACCTCCTCTGCATTATCTCGCCTGGCCGCTCAGCGCAACATGAGAGAGTGACACGCAAGAGGAGCCGAGGAAACGCTCTGCCACATTCAGAGTCTTGTGATTCGCGGACCGCAGCTTGCCGTCAATAACCAGATGAACCTGCCACGACTCGCTCGCAGAGGAGAAGGAGAAGGAGAAGTAGAAGTAGAAGTAGGATGACGACGATGACGAGCAGGATGATATTGAGAATACGTGGCAGAAGCAGCAGGATGGTGCCCAATCCTGGCCGAACCAATCCACACCGAACGGCTAAATCTGATCGGAACGGAACGTGCATCGAAACGGTCAGCCCAAAAGAAACGCATCGGACCTCGCCAGATCTTCGGAAAACCGATGTCAGATCTGACCGAGATAGGAGACCGATGTCGAAATGGCACTCCAGGTGGCCGATTCAAGAAACCATGAACTCAAACACATTGTCATCTCTTGGGACACCGATCATTACTTCCGCCACTTCACCCGGCCTTCGGCCAACTTCCGCCGGCGCAGGCGGCCTCACTTTACTTCCGCCGCCTTCCGCCAAGGAAGAGATGACAGCTCCTTCGGCCCTCGAAGGCGAGGGCCTTTCTGGCACTCCCTGCAGCCCGCTGCTCTCCCGAGCAGCGCCACCGATCCCAGCGACGGCAAGGAGAGGGCCCGCGCTCGTGGCCCCCCCTCGTCGACGATCGGCCACACGCAGAGGGGGCGAATTAGGGGGGAGGACGAGAGGAGGAGGAGGAAGAGGAGGAGGAGGAGGAGGAGGAGGAGGAGGAGGAGGAGGAGGAGGCGGATCCAGCCGTGGCGACGAGGGGGCGCCCCAGGCGGCCCCGAGAGATCCGAGAATTCTCCCAGAACTCGCCATCGCTGGGCCGTCCATGCCCCGCGCACGTCTCGGTCTCGCGCACCCTCTGGCTGCTGCAAGAGGACCCAAGAGGCTCCCCGATGGTCCTCGCCGAGGAAACACGCACACGCACGAGCGATGCCAAGTCAAAAGACGCACCTCCTTCCACCCCGCCGTCTCTTCCCCCCCCCAGAGATCTCCAGGGGCCCCCGGAGGTAGAGCGGAGCTACCCCAGGACCCTAACGGTTGCTCGCGGCTGCGGCTGTGCTCGGTGCCCGTCGTGGGAGCCAAGGCACAAGACGACGAGCAGAACGCGGACCAGGAGGAGCAGCAGACGGGAGACAAGAGAAAGGCGAGGCGCTGCTCACTCAGGGTGGCGAGTGTGGAACCCCGAAAACCTGCGATGCAAACTGCACGCTACGGAGGAGGGTGCGCCGCCCGAGATCGGTCCCGCCGTAGTGCTCGAGCCATCGCTCAAAGACCGAGCCACGGAATACATAACCGCGCCTCGAGGCGCAAGTTGGAGTATCCTCAGGTCCAACGTGCTGAGCCCTTTTGTTGTAGCGCCTCCCTGGAGGTCTTGGGAGGGCCTCCGAATACGACGTGGCACCAGGCGCCCCCGTTCCACCAGGCTCGCTCGCAACTTTTTGCCGCGATGCTCAAAGCGTCTGGCCGGACTTGATCCGATGCGGCGCCACGGTGCGAAAGGGGAGGAGGAGGAGGAGGAGGAGGAGAAGGAGGAGGAGGAGGAGGAGAAGGAGGAGGAGAGAAAGGGTGCCGAACGATAATGCACTGTCCCTGGGTGCGTGGCTGAATTGGGACCCCGCGACGTGGAGTCTGCCTGATATTGCGTCGTTGTTGTCGTCGTCCCCCCACGACCCGGCCCGCCACCCACCTGCAACCCACTCACGACCCACCCGCGACCCACCCGCGACACACCCCTCGACCCACCCTGCGACCCACCCGCGACCCACATTGCTTGAACGGAAAAACTGGCGCCTGCGGCGGGCTCGCTGTGTAGTTTGTGAAAATTAGGCGCTTGCGGCGGGCTTCGTCAGAGCCTCGCAGACTGCCGACGTCCCCGCCGCCCCCTCACTCTTACCCGCAACTGCGGGTGCTCTGGAGCTTCGGGCGCTTCTGGCATTGGGGGCGTGTCCCCGCGGCGTGCCGCTAGGCTTTTCCGAAGGCGAAGTGGCCCCAACACGGGCCAAGAGGTCCCCAATACGTCATCAAGGCGGTCCAAGAAGGCCCCAAGCCTCCCGCCTGCGAGAGGCTTCACAGAAGCCTCCCAAGAGATCGACGCGCGCTGCTCAGAGAAGGGCAACACATCAGTGTGTGCGCCTAGCAGCGCGGAAGAGATTCGCAGGTGGGCACGAGGAGCCATGAAACATGAGAAAACAGGCATCGGGGGGGTTCTCCGCGCACACGCGCTGGCCCGGCGAGCTGAGAGCCCAAAGGTGGGCAGGTGCGCAGGGGATTCGCAGCGTGGAAGAAGCCAAGCCGCTGGGGCCCGCCGCTGGGGCCATCACGGGCCTCCTTGTGCACTGGCCGGGTGGGCTGGCAGCCCAACGTGGGGAGCTGCGCTCGGGGAGATGCAACTACAGTGAGGGTCTTGACCTAAGGAACCCAAACTAAGGAGCGAGGCCCCTTTTTTTCCATAAGTTAAACTTCGATGTCCGATCGAAAACATAAGGAAAACCTGAGGCAAGCTGTGAAACACTTAAGGAACGCGGAGCCCCTCCCCAACCAAAAGGGTTCCTTCTTCAGGGCCCCGACTGTATGAATAGAACAAGCCGCCAGGGCCATCATTCGCTCATGCACCTGCCTGCTGTTGGCAAACGCAGGCAGGTGCCTGCGCAGGTCGGAAAAGGCAGGAGACTACGCCGCCGGGCACGGATCCCACAGCGAGCCTGGCCCGCGAGCGGGCACGCTCGGCGTGGGCTTCCCGGCAACAGCTCCGCGCCCACGTCCTGTGCTCGGCCCGCGAGCGGCTACGCTTTTGCCGTGGGCTTCGTGGCAGCTGCTCCGAACGCATGGATTTCCGCTTCCTCCGAGCGGGCGCGCTTTGAGTGAGCAGCATCCATCCTGGCAGCAACGCTGGCAACGCGCTGGCTCTCGCAAGCAGGCGGCCACACTCGGAGCTGCTTCGTGGCGAGGACGCTGGGCACGCGATGGGTTTCTCGGCCGCACGCAGGCACCTTCGGAGTCATCTCCTGGCAGCCACGCTGGCCACGCGATTTGCAACGAACGCGAGCAGGCACGCTTCGAATGAACTCCTGGGCTGCATCCTGACAATGGCAACGCGATGGCTGCTGGACGGGCACGCTTGGAGTGAGCTTCCTGTCAAGCCTCTTGGCGAAACCGCTGGCGACGCGATGTGCCCTTCAGGCAAGCGGGCACGCTCGGAGCGAACTATTGCCAACAACGCCGGACGCGAAAGGTGTCTCGGCCGCCAGCGGGCGCGCTTGGAATGAGCATTCTGCCAACTACGCTGGACACGCTTTGGGGAGTCCAAAAGGTACCGATACCGCTACTCCCTGGACATATCCCAGGGTGCGTTCTGACAAGGATTTCGAAGCATATCCAGCGGTGGCGACGAGAGCCTCCGAGGAGGCCCAAAAAAGGGAAAACGGGCGAAGGGTAGCGGTATGGGTACCTTCTCTCCTCCGACGCTTCGAATTTAACTTCCTGGCCTGCATCCTGGCAGCTACATTGGCAACGCAGTGGTGGCCGGAAGCGAGCGGGCACGCCTGGGAGCGACCTTCCCGGCGAGCTTATGGGCGCAACAGCGCTGGCGACGCAGTGTGCGCCGCAGGCGAGCGAGCACGCTCGCAGTGAGCGGCCTGCACCCAGGCAGCGATGCTGGCAACGCGATGGCCGTCAAGAACGAGCGGGCACGATCGAAGCGAACTTCCTGCCGGGCCTCTTGGCAACAGCGCCACCGACGGTGCGCCACGCAAGCGCGTGGGGCGATTGGAGCGAGCCGCGCGGCGACACAGCTGGCCACGCGATGGCTGCTCGGAGCGAGCGGGCACACGCTTTTATTGTTTCCCTCCGCAGCGCAGCGAATGCTGTACACTGTTTCGACTCCGGCGGCGGCTGGGGCGGACAACGCCTGCCCCCCCGGGACAACTCGAGGCCACCCAACAAAAACCTACCCGGGCCAATTAACGCGCGGGCAAGCGCTCGAGGAGGAGGGCAAGTACAACAAGAAATGGAAGTTCCAACATCTGGGGGCCAACGAATGCGAAGCGCCCCAACGCGGCATCCGTGAAGCAACGGAGCGTAAACGCGCAGCCAGGAGATCAAAATGCAGGTGGCGACGGCAAGAGGAGATCCCACCAGGCGAGGCACGGAAGATCACCAGACGACTAGAATCAAAATGATAGCACGAGGAGGCACGCAAGGATCTAATACCGAGCGGAGCCCGAGCATCCCCAGGCAACCGCCGTCATCAAACCGTGAAGCCGTGGCGAAACCTTACAGCCCGAAGAAGTTGACCTCTGGATTCTGCTGCGCGGCGGCCTAGGACAGGTTCTGGCCCCTCCGCGCGGCCTGCGGCCAGACGCTCGAGGGCCCGCGGTGCGCCAGCATGAGGTGCCTCTCCGCCAGCTTGACGTCGCCCTTGGCCTGCACCAGGGCGACCTCCTTCTCCTTCAGGGCCACCAGCTCGTCCAGCTGCTCCTGGATCTCGGCCAGCTTCTCGGCCGCGGCCGCGAACACGCCCTTGCGGCCGTTCTCCCTCATCCACTCGGGCGGCTCCTCCCCGAAATACTCGAGCTCCGCGACCTTGCACGCGGCCCAGCGGTTGGCCCACTTGCTGTCCTCCTCCACCAGGGCGGACATCCACTCTGGGACCTCCTCGTTCTCCGCCCTCAGGCGCTTGGCCTCCTTGACAGCCCACTTCATCTGGCCCTGCCGGGCGTCTCTTGCGACCATCTCCTCCATCCACTGGGGGGCCGTCATGTTGTTCTCGTGCAGCTCCTTCAGCGACTCTTTCGCCCACATCAGCGTCGCGTGCTGGGCCACCCTTTGCCTCTTCTCCTCCCAAGTCAGGGCCGACTCGCTCTTGCACCACTCCGGGGCGTTCTCGGGCAGGGACCCGAACCTGTTCCAAAACTTGCTCTTGGGGCCAGTGGCCCCCTCCTGCTTGAGGGACGCCGCGCCCGCGATCAGCCCCGCCGAGAGGGCGCACTGCAGCAGCGGAGCCATCCTGGCTCGAGGGGGGGGGGTCCGGCTAGCGGTCGAGGACAAGCTGCGGTAGTGGATGGAACTTGGCAGAACGATCTTGAGCCCTTGAGCCAAAATGGCTACGGATCGGAGCGAGCGGGCACACTTGGAGTGAGTTTCGTGGAAGCTGCGCTGGTCACGCGACGTGCGATGCAGGCGAGCGACCACGCACGGGAAGCCCGCGGAAGGGACACCGCGACAGGGCACCGCCAGTGTGGGAGGCATGAGGATAAGGATGAGGAGGAGGAGGAGGAGGCGGAGGAGCCCCAGCCTGGTTAGGGGAGCAACGTGCGCACGCCCGATCTCCCTCCTCTTCTTGGGGGAGGACGAGGTGGATAACAGCCTCCTCCGGGCCATCCAGGCAGACAGCCAGCCAGCCTCCCCCCGAGCTGCTGGAACGTCGTAGAGGCCGTCTGACGCCAGCATCTGCCACGGCAC